TTATAAATTTAGTAATATAATATTTTTGTTATATATTTAATCAACATGATATAGTAAAATATTACAATTATTTTTTGAAATATTATATTTTTGTTGAATATTCAATGTAATATAGTAAATCAATATATATATATATATATATATATATATATATATATATATAAGGGATATCTGTAAGACACTTCAATGCCAAAGTAAGGTTCAGAGTAGTGCGAGCAAGTATGAGAGTGAGTATGAAAGAATGAATACCTGACCCTCTCAAGAGAGAGAGAGAGAGAGAGTATTTATAGCCCTCAACGTTGGACCAAGGTCTCCATTGTTGAGCTGGGCAAGCAGACTCAAAATAGAGTATGCTAGGTTCTACGTGTGTAGTGGGACCAACAACATATGGTCTCCAATCTGGATAGACTCCCCCGAATAGTCAGGAGGATATGGGTATAGTCTTTTCGGGGACCAAGGGACTCCGTGATATTTGGGGATCTGAGAAAGATGTTCACGGTGTCCTTACGTCGTCGAGGGTCGTCCCCGTCAACTGTGAGGTCGTCCAGGAGGGCTTGGCTTGGTCGACAAGGAGAGTGGAGGATACTCGCGAGGTCCTCCTGACTGGTGACGAGCCTCCTCGCAATTCCTGAATTTATCCCCCTGCGACGGAGTCGTGTTTTCACGAAGGGTGAGGTTACTGCCCGACATAATTGATGACATACTCGGTTAGCAAGCCTCCTCGAGCAACATAGTTGGATTGGACCTCGTATGAAGTTGGGCCAAGGATCCAAAAACAATATATATATATATATATATATATATATATATTATATATATATATATATATATATATATATATATATATAATATATATATATATATATATATATATATATATATATATATATATATATATATATATATATATATATATATATATATATATATATATATATATATATATATATATATATATATATATATATATATATATTAAACATATAAAATCATAAAGATTTAATTATACTTTTGGTTCATTTATTTTATTTGATTCACGAAATCAATACCTTTATTTTAAATTTAAATAATTTTAATCTCTCTTATAGTTTTATACTAAAAATTAAGAATATTTTTATTTTTAAATAATAAATTACTTGTAAAATATAATAAATCATCGTATATAAATTAAAAAAATAAAAAAAAAAATCATTTTTTTATAAAAAATACGTGAGAAAAATTTAAATTTTTTTTAATTTAAAATCAAAAAATCAAAAATATTTAAATTTAAAATAAAAAAATTAATTTCGTGAATCAGATAAAATCGAAATTAAAACTGTGATTAAAAAAATATATGAAAAATTGCCAAAAATAAATCAACAAATCGGGTTATCACATGATCTGTTTCCAGGACAAACCCATGTTTTGTTTTTTTTAAGTTTAGTTTGCAGTTGCACACGAATTACAACTGTGTTTGAAAACCTCATCCGACGTGTCAACTTATTATTGGTTGAATGAGCTGCCCAGTCCAATCACGCCTCGACATATAACAATTGCCAACGACGCCGTTTCCAGTTTACAAAAAACACAAAACCTTAATAAAAAACACGACTACACACTTTCGTTGAAATAAAAAACTCTCCGTTCACCTCTTCATCGTTGTTCTGTCTCTCTTTCTTTCTTTCACAATTCTTCTCCTAATTAGTCTCAGAAGTGAATCCAAGAAAAAATAAGGTATCTATTTCTTCTTTTTTTTCTTGAAATTTTTATTTTTAGGGTTTTAGAGAAGCGTTGAGATTTAATTTAAATTAAGAATTTTTTTTTTTGGTGCAGATGGGATTGAGGGAAAATATATTGGTGTTTGTTTTGATTGTGATGTTGTTGAAAGTAACAGAAGGGATTAGATTTGTGATAGATAGAGATGAGTGTTTCTCACATGAGGTTAAGTACGAGGGTGACACTGTTCATGTTTCTTTCGTTGTTATTAAGGCTGATTCTCCTTGGCATTACGGTGATGAAGGTGTCGATCTTGTGGTATGTTGTTGTTTTGTTCATTCTCAATTTCATTCACTCTACCACTATTACATTGCAGAGTTCGATTAAACCCTATATGAGACAAAAATTCTAAGTTATTTTATTGGTTTAGTTATTTCATATGCAATTGCCATTTGTTTTACCTTAATTTTGAGCTTATGAAGGGGAAGTATGACAAGTCAAAGTTAATTTCTTGTTCTTCTTAAATTTAAAACTCTTGAAAGGAATAGAACTATAGTTACATCACAATCATAGATGAATACAAAGTAAAAACCAACATTAATGAATGTTTGCTAGTAAATGTTAGATTATAATATATAGCGGATAATGTTAATCATACAACAATGCAAGGCAAGCGGGCAACAAGCTGCGCTGCTATTCTTTTTTGGATGCGAAAGCAATCCTCTTAAAGACTATGTTCACTCTCCTAGGAGACATAACATTGCTATTCACGAGCCTTTGAACCATCGGTAAAGGATCCACTACCCTGGTGCTAGAAAATCAAAAGTGTCAAATGCAAATAGTATGAAAGCATGTTGATTGTCCGAACACACTTTCTCATGTTTGACCAGTTTACGTGAGGCGGCTTTGAGAGATGCTTGTCCCACAGTAAAACTTCTAGCCCTCAGTCCCACAAGTTGTCCGAAGTTTCAACCTTCCGTTCTGTGGATTGGTCAAGAAATTCACATACGCCTCTTTCTTTAGATACCCCGCCGCCGAAATATATCAAACATGACATCCCTAACAAAGACTTTCACATAACGATACTTGAATCCTAGAAGCTCCTACAATGAACTGCTTGTAAATCAAACCTAAGAGGGACCGAAGAAACTATTGCTTGTCTTTATAACCATAATCATGCCAATGTTTTTTTTTTTCCTAGATATTGTGAGCCATTGTCAAATTTTTTTATCCCGTAGCACAACTGAATGTAGGTCAAACACCGTGCAAAGTTTATATTGATAGTTAGGAGATAACTTAATGGTTTAGAATAATTAGCCTTGTTTTTAGGAAGAAAGTATATAATACTAGTAGTCTATATGTTGCATCCATACAAATCCACATCTCTACCGATCAGTGCTTGAAATAATAATCTTGTTTATCTTTTTCCTTAATATTTCCAATCATGTTAGGGTTTGAATCTCATTACATGAAAATATGGGAATTTCAGGTAAAGGGACCTGTTGGTGATCAAATTCAAGATTTCCGTGACAAAACCAGTGAAAAGTTTGAGTTTGTGGCTCACAAATCGGGGGTGCATAAGTTCTGCTTCACTAACAAATCTCCTTATCACGAGACCATCGATTTTGATGTGCATGTTGGTCACTTCTCTTACTTCGAGCAACACGCAAAAGACGGTAATGCCTCCTATTGTTCTTACTTTTGTAGTGTAGTATAATACTCTTTGAGTTGCATGAAAGAACTGTTGTTGAAACTTTTGTGATTGAATGCAGAGCATTTCAACCCTTTGTTAGAGCAGATAGCTAAATTGGAAGAAGCTCTTTACAATATTCAGTTCGAACAACATTGGTTAGAAGCTCAGACCGATCGCCAAGCAATAGGTATTATTTGAAGTTTACTTTCTGTTTATCTAAATATTTACATTTTTCTGTACATAAAATCCTCTGTACATACCAATTATTATTAGGACAAAACTTTGGTATAGTTTCATAGGCATTGTTCCTACTTTTCTCTACTAAAAAACAATTGTCACCAAAAGTTGTGAAAATGCGGCTCTTCGTGAGAGGATCGGCAAAAATAGTGCTTAAAGTAATGCATCCGAGTTTTGTCTTTATTATTTTACTCATTCTAAAGATAAACCCTTACTTTTGTATATGCCATCTGGTTTTAACATCATTTAGTAGAACTTCCTGTCCCAATCTGCAATCGTAGTTCTAGTCAGCTGCTACATCAAACAAACCGATCGGTTAAGAACATTTTTTTTCCTATCTCTTGTTGGCGTTAGCTGCATACTTGCTTTACTTGTGGTCAAAGTTGACTTTGATTTTTTATCTTAACCATCCCTTTCTTAGGGAAAGGTGCCTTACTAGCATGAAATTCTGGTTTTTCCCTAATGGTTTATGCTTCTAAATCTCGTTAACCACTCGAGTCAAATGACTCAAAATCTGACTTACTCCTGAGCCTCTCATCACATGGTTAAATGCTCACACAAGCCATTTTCGTATGTTCCCTATCTTTCTGCATTCTTTCCTAGAGGAACGAATTGTGGAAGAATATAAAGTCATATTAGTTCAAAAAACCTACAGATTTGTTTTTCTCTACTTGCTCTTTTTAATATTGTGTCTCGTGTGTGAAATGCAGTGAATGATGGCATGAGCCGAAGAGCAGTACACAAGGCAATCTTTGAATCAGCAGCACTGATTGGAGCTAGTGCACTACAAGTCTTTCTTCTGCGACGTTTATTTGAGCGAAAGTTGGGAAACTCTAGAGTTTAGAGTTAGGACATGTTCTGAGAATCTGTAACATTATGAATCTCAATGTTATTTTAAACTTTTTGTTTCTTTACTGTCATAACATTGATATTTATACTCGAGGTTTACTTTTCTCACAATATATTTCTGGAAAAATATTATTTATTGCTTGGATCGGTTCGTTTTGTCTCTGAGGATTGAAATTTTAAATTTACTGCTACTGGTTAAGAGTTGTCTAACCCTAAAAAAAACGGAGCACATTGGATGTGTCGAATAACGCATGCGAAAGAGTCTATGCGAACAATGGGAGGACAGTTATACAAACATGAAATATAGATTATAAGGCTTCAAAATTAGAAAGTACAGTTCATAAGAAGTTTGAATACAACAAGTATTGAGCTAAAAATTACTGATAATTCATTCACCAGAAATCATAAATATATAATGTAATATTTGCTAATTGTTATTATTTTCCAAAGCTCAGATTCCAGCAGTACACCATCATGGCTTAAACGAAGCTCCAGACTTCTGGAAATTATGTTGAGTTCGAAAACATTATGATTCTCCACCGGATGGACTTACACAGCAAAACCATTTTTTCTGCAATAGTTTAACAAGACAGAAAAGTTATACTGCAGAGACTATTAACAGAAGCAGTGAAACTAGCACAGGTTGAGCAGATCCAGAATAAGAAATACAAACAAGCATGCCTACACATATACACGACAAAATCCATTCTGACATGTTGGAATAGTTGGTTAGCTAGAGGAATACAGTCAGTAGAAATGATCCATTCTGAATGTTTATGAAGTTTGTTGAAAGGAAAATCCTTAATGAGAAACCACCTTCTATTCTAAACCATTCAATAACAATTATCCATGTCATTATCGCACTATGTTGGGATCAATGCATATCGGCTTTATCAACAACCAAAATTTAGGGATCTATCTTATATTTTTCCTACAAACTACTTGTATACAAGTGAAATTAGAGAAAAAGAAAGAACATACAGATTGAGGTTTGCCAAGAACAACTTGATGTTTGTATTTGGTTTTACGATAATCCTTCGATGGTGAATCAATCTTAATACCACTCTTCTTCTCATTCCTAGCTTTGTTGAATATCACAGTATATCCTTCAGCTGATGCTGGATCATTCACGTCCCATTCTCCAAATTTTGGCAATGGAACACCCTTTTCCTGTACAAAACCATATTCTAAATATTCAAAACCATATTCATATATATATATATATATAATATATATATATATATATATATATATATATATATATATATATAATGGAAGGGATGCAATTAAAAATGCTAACATACCGCCATGGATTTGTCAAAATCACGATGACAAATCCAGCAGAACAAGGCTCTGTAACTTGAATAAAATCACGTTGATGTTGTTTTAGTTTTCTCTAACACAAGCACCAAACAATACTAAATTTGTGGGTGGACCATGTAGTTTGTTCTGAATTGTACTATTTTCAGCCAGCCAACCAAGCTCCGCCATCCATCAAACTTGTTAGTTTTTATTTTTATTTTTTATTTTTTTATTTTTACAATAATATTTATAAACTTCATTTCATTTTTGTAGAATTATTTCATAATTTGGAACATAAATTGGTTAATGTTATTTTGTAATTTTTTTTAATATATTATGTTATATTTTACAACCAACTTATTGTTTTACTAGTAACATTAATTTAAATTTTCAATTGATATTATATAATCAAGTAGGTAGATATTATAAAATAATCAAAATTATATAAAAAGAAAAGGCGAACAAATAATAAGTTGTACTTTTATCTCTTTTAGATAGTAAAATCAATTCTCTTAAAAATTACATCTATTATCTTCGAAGATACAACATTACTATGCATAAACCTTCACACTTTGTGTAAAAGAACATCTGCTTCTGGAATTAGAAAACTAAATTAAATTGTATTTTCTTAACACATTAAATTTTATTGATTATAATGAGTTGAGTTCATACAAGTTGTACTTGCTAAAAAGTACATATGCGTAGCACTCTTATGCTGGTATTTATGGTTAAAAACTATATTTTGAGGTGATTTTTGTGTGGAGAGAGTAAGCTCACGGGAGATGAGAAGCTTTGTATGATTCAGGGGTGTTTAGTATATTCTGTATTGTCTATCCCTCCTCACTCTAGGAATGAGGTATCTATAGAGGCCTAATAGTCTGGATTTAGGATTCTTAAGAACTGCAACCGTCCACCTAGTCATGGTAGTGGACTGTTGAATCTCTATTTTCTAGATAGCCGTGAGTTATTCCATTGAATCTTTTTGTAGAGTATCTTTGGCCAAGATATGTCATTTCTCATGTTTCCTACGTTGGGCGAGTTAGGAGTGTCCCGAGTGAGGTTATCTCACTCATGGGGTGGCAGGAATCTGACGTCCCTGATTGGTGACAAGGCCTCCTTGTCTTTAATAGGCCATTCACAAATATATCAAGTACAAGAGTTTGGTAAAAGGAATAATGCTTAATTGACTATGCATCAGGAGTGTCTATTCGTTTAGACCTAAAGTCTCTCAAGTGAGTTGTTTATTGAGCCTGTCTAAGGGACTATAAGTTTCCTAGATGAGGCATTTAGATGAGTTTGTCTAATGAGTCTATAAGTCACTCAAGCGAGGTTTTACGTTGACTCTCATGAGTAAGAGTTTAATCGAGTCCCTTAAGCTAAACTTCAAGCTAAGACTATTTGATGGGACTCTAATTCCCTTAGACGAGGCATTTAAATAAGTCTTTTTAATGAGACTCTAAGTCCATCCGAGGAGGCGTTTAGATGATCTTGTCTGATAAGACTCCAAGTCCCTCAAGTGAGGCGTTTAGATGAGTATGTTTGATGAGTCTTTATGTCCCTCAGGCGGGGTGTTTAGATGAGGCGGTCCCATGCGTATAGTCTGTGATACGGTGGGAGAACTGACTCGGATTATTTTGCGTTTGATCGCAATTGTGCGGATAGCAAGAGTCGCCACCGACTTTTCTTTTATCCAAAAGGAAAGGTAAAAAAAGTACAGGAAAGACCTTTCGAGATTATTTCTTGGGTTCGGGGGGTAGGTTATGAAAAGGGAAGGTGTTAGCACCATTTTCATCTGTAGTTATCTACGGGCTCTTAGTTATTTGCTAGATCACTTACTTTTATTTGACAACGTGCTTGTGGTGTGGGCTTTCAAAGTATTTTGAAAATGTCTTTGTAATGGTTCTCGTCTCTATAAGAACGCGTACAAAGTGTTTGTTTGGAAAATAGTTCAAAGAAGTGTTTGTGTAGTGTGTTTTTTTGAAAGTGTTTTTGAAAAGATGTTTTTGTAATGGTTCTTGTCTCTATAAGAACGTATACAAAAAGCTTTTGTCTTTTGAAAATGTTTCAAAATGCAAGTTTTGGTGTGTAAAATGTTTTTGTTGTGAGCAAGCGAGCAACTAAGAGCAACCTATTTACTCGAAAGGTCTTAAATGTGCTTTTCCTCCTCCTTTAGATGTTTCTATCTTACCATTGATTTGGTAAGAAGCCTCATCGTTGGATGTGAAGAGACAGGCGCGGGTCAATCGTACAGTCATCGAAAGCAACTTGTGAGACGCTTTAGCAATTTTTTGTAAGGGATTAGATCGTTTTATCGAAGGCAGCATCTAGGGACATCGAGGGACTACGATCTTTTTTTATTGAAGGGTCTTTGCTAAAGCGTCCCATATTCGAGGGACATGACTGTATTTCTGAGGTAACAAGCGAGGTTACCCTAGAGGTGTGTGTGTGTGTGTGTGTGTGTGTGTGTGTGTGTGTGTGTGTGTGTGTGTGTGTGTGGCGCGCGCGCATGTGTGTGTGAAAAAGTGTGTTTGATTCAAGTTATTTTGTCTTTGATTATGCTGTCTAGCGGTTGATTTTAGATCTTGCCATGCACGCCTAATTACTATACAGTATAAGGAAAACAGTAAATTGCGAAAATTAAAATTTTACGCTATTACAGAGCTTTCGAGAATGGGGATATAAATTTACAAATGGGGATGGATTAATGCGATTAAAAGTTCAAATAGGCAAATAATACAACCAAATCGAATCGAGCAATTAATCGAAATTACAACAAGTTTATGAAGTAAAATTAATTAACAAAATAAAGATAAAGAAATCAAATTCTTTTTTTTTTTGAAAAGTTTGAAAAGAAAAATAGAAAAAATTTATTCTATTAATTAGCTAAATAAATTAAATCAAATGCATGTATTTTGTCTTTTAGGGTTTTTTGTTATTAAGAAATTAAATAAACAAATTAAGACTTAAATACAAAAATTAATTAGTAAATATTTACAAATTTTTTTCTAAATTAAATTAGAACTAAGAACTACTAATTGAGAACTAAACCTGCTCAAAGAAAATTTGAGGGTTTTGAACAATTGTGGTATGCTGACCTTAGGCTTTAGAGTACAGGTTAAGTTATGTCTATTTTGGTGCAAGTTTTGGCCTGCTTTAGACAGGTTTTGATGCAGGCTGTAGTATGGCTATTTTTTGTTATTTTATGGACTGGTTTAGACAGTTTGGTGCAGGTGATATCTTTTCCTCTTTTATCTTTCAATGAAATAAAAAGCCATTTTGCTTTTCATACAATTTTCTGAAGGATTTGCACTTTTTTTGGAAAGTGATGACAGGGTTTTGATAGCTTGTATTGCTACATTTGATGCTTTTGACCATTTGGCCTGTTGCTTGTTGTTTTGTTTAGACTGCCCATTTGTTGCTGTTTGCTGCCTGCTATTTGGCAACGTTGTTTTGTTACATTGTTTTGGTTCTACTGTATTGCAGCCTGTTTTACTGTTGCTGCAGCTTGTTGTGCTGTTTTTGTTTGCTATTGTTTGCAGTTTGACCTTGCTATTTGGTTTTTACGTTACTGTTTAGCCTTCTTTGGGCTGCTGTATTGAAAAATATTTAGCATCTTCTTTTCCCTTTTGTGAACTAAGAAAAATCACATTTTTTTGTGATTTGTAAAAGTAGGAGGAGATATCTTATGATTGAAAATAAAACCTTTTAAAATTCTGATTCCAAAGTGAGAATCCTAATGATGAAATTTCTTGTTTAACAAATCATTCTTGCTTGGATTTTTCACATGCTGATTGTTTGCTAATTTTTCTTTCTTTTGTTACATGTACGAACAATTGAATGGCAAGCGAGGCAAGGTGAAGAGAAAACCATGGCTAGCAATGAGGAGTTTCTTGAAGATGAAGCAAATTTGAAAAATAAACATTTATTTCTTTCTTTATAAACAACAAATGTAGCTTGTGATTCAATTTATATTTTTCATTGTAAACCCTTTTGCAAATTGTCCAAGAATGATAACCCGAACACAATATTTGAATGAAATGTATGAATGGTGAATTTGTTGTAAGTCTTGAATTCTTGAAAACTTGGAATAATCCTCTAGAAATTAGGGTGTATTTTGCTCAAAATTCTAAACTCATAAATCTTTTTGAATTGATATTGCAATTTAATTGACGAACTTGAATATTTGATTTTGAATCCTTGAAATACACTCCAAGTAGAAACACATAAACCTTTTTTTATCATGAACCAAATCTTGATGAACAATCAAAGAAACTTAAGAAACCTAATCTATATCCAATTTTAATTCAGTAATTACTAATGCTTCGAACACAAGCAACTTGTATTATAAGCGATATATAATCAATGAATCCTCAAACTCAACGTCTTGCCTTTACCCTTGACTTAGTGGAGAACAAACTCAACACAAAATCAATTCTAAGTCCAAAATGTTCCAACGAATTTCATGGCTTTCTAAGCGCATTTAGCTATTGATCCTTGAAGCAATCTTACAGACGGCATCATTTGAGATATGTTGCAAAAAGAACCATCCCGATATGATGAAAATCAGAAGAGTTACGATCCTTGGAAGTCTAGTAACAATTACTTGAGATTAGGCCAAAGTCCACAAAGCGGCCTCTAAAGTATCCAAACTTTTGATGATCTTGTGCAAATTATTGGCCCTTGAATTGTAAAGATGGGTTAATGAGGACGTAAAAAGGAAACAAATGCTCAAAGAATCACTCAGAAATGTTGAATATCAAAGAAGTTATAATCTTCTGAACTTGATCTTGAAAGTGTCAACTTTTACAATTGATTTTTAGTCATTCGAGCCACTGACTGGGCACACTCGCGATGCAAGGCTTGAAACTTGGCACGAATATCCTTGAGAACACATGAAGGACCAAGAAGACCAATTGAAACTTCGGAAACTCAATTTCACTCGAAGAATGCCAAACCCTAATTGTTGACTCAATTCCTAAAAAAGAATCTGCCTGATCAAATCTTGAGCCAAATTGAGTGTTTCAGAAATCCTAGGATAGTATCTTGAGTGAAAAATGGGAGGGAAAATTTTGGGGTCAACATAGTCCATTTTTATTGCCTTAGGGGCAGTAGGATCTCTCTATGGAAATGTAGCATACTCGTATTGTCTAAGAGGCGACAAGGATTCAACATACTTTATTGTCTAAAAATGCAGCAAGTATTTTCCTATGAAAGTCCAACATATTTTATTGTCTAAGGCGGTGACAAAGATCTTCTTGTGAAAGTTCAACACATAACAGTAAAACTGAAATATTCTTTTTGCTCGTATACTAAAAAGTTCATGTATAGGTGAACCCCTTTGAAAGTTTGTAAATAGCTTAACTTTAATAATATTTTTAACTGATGAAGTTCCAAGTCTTGGGGATGAGTCTATCATCCAATTGTTCTAGTTTGTATGCTTCATGTGACAGCTTTTAGAATAAGCGATATGGTCTTTATTAGTTTGGCTGCAATTTTCTCTATTGCGCAGGTAGAACCATTTGTCTCAATACCAAATTTCCCTCATGTATTTCTCTTAGCATAACCTTAGAGTTGTATCTTCTGATTGCTTTTTGCTTGACGGTAAACTCCCAGATATGGGCAACATATCTCATTTCATCGATTATATCAGTGGTGCATCTTAACTCTGACTTATTCACTTCCTGGTTGAATTGAGAACTTTATCATAATGGTGTATCGATCTACGGGTAAAATAACATATGCTCCATATATCATGGCGAAAGGCTAGGGCGATGTCATGGAGTAGAATAACTCATTTAGGATGTGTTGTAAGTCGGCATGTCTCTAACATTTATCACACTTCTTGACAAACGACACACTATATTTCTATAAGGTTGGCTAATACTAATCTACGCGTAGTAGTTTATGGGAAAGACCCTCCACTAATGTGGCTACCACACGTTCCCTAATGAACTTCAACGAGTATTAAGACGGTTTCATGCTCTCCTAGACCTTGTAACATTAGGGATGCTCCTCCCATCTCATAGAAACATCGTGATTCATCATTTCTCTCTTGTAGTTCAATATATAGTTAATTTTAATTAGACTTGTTGGAACTAAGAAAAATAGTGGAAAATGAGTTATTTAAAATCATGAAATCTTTGTTTTTGTACCTCAACTTCTCTTTTCTTTCTCTTTCAAATAATCATTTATTGTTCTTCGAAAATTGATAAGATATTACGCAAAGGGATCAAATACTAAGTATATCTTTGAACTTCAATTGAAAATATATGTTCAAGATCTTTTTAGCTTTTGTTTGAATTGATGAAATATGATGGAGCGGAGTAGAGCGGAATATAAAACGGTATTTTATTGTTTTGATAATTTTATAACGGATGGAGCAGAATTGAGTGGTATGGATTTTATTTCATTTCATCACTTATCACCATATTCTTTTCTGTTGTTTGATTTGGATGAAATGAACAACTTACCTTATTCCGTTCTAAAATTTCCAAACAATAAAATGATACTTTTGTTCTGCTCCACTTCATTCCGCTTCATTCTATTCCGCTCCATTATATTATGCTCTATTCATTTCGTAATAAACAAACAAAACTTTTGTGTTTTCCAACAACACACCTGACTTAATTCAAATAACTCAAGAAAAATTGAATTAAAGAAGTTGAAAAAGTAATAAATGTTTATTTAAATTTCACCACGAGTGGTGTATACAAATGAATAGAATAAAAATGAATCTTAATACAACAAGAGCCAATTTACACAAAACTCAAGTAAAAATAAATAGAAAGTGACACAAATTAAAAGTATGCATGTGCTATGAATTGAACTCAAACATTGGAAGCAAAGTTTGGTTTTGAATGTGGTGCAGGGAAGGTAGAATTTGCAGCAGCACCCGGCGGTGGAATCGGCATACCATAAACTTGAGGATTGCTGAACACATCTCGTCTTCCTCTAGCTCTTCCAAAGAAGTAACATCCAAAACCAAGAACAAAGCAGAAGAATATTAAAGGAAGAGAAATTACCACAACCATTCCCATCTTGATTTGCTCTGTTTTCCAAGATTGTGTTGCGTGTTTATTTATGAGTTGTTTTGTTGCGTTAGAGAAGAGGTTTTTTAGGGTATTTAAGTGTTTTGTTGTAATAATGGGGCTTAACGTTCAAGTTTGTAACGGTCACTTCTTCGGTAGCTGTCCTTGGATCTAAATATTTGTCTATTTTTTATATTAATCAATCATATATACTCCCTCCCGTCTTATTTATAAGAAAAAATTAACTTTTTTAGATACATTAAATAAGTAATGTATTTGGACAATATATTTTCCAAATACATTACTTATTCAATGTATATAAAAAAATAATTTTTCTTATAAATGAGACCGGAGGGAGTATTTATCTTCTAATTTTTTTATTTATCAATAATAAATATGTGTAACATGTTTTTTATTATATTTATTGGTGACAAATATTTGTCTTATATTTTATATTAGAAACAAATATAATATTAATTAATGACAAGTATTTTAAAAAAATATATCAATGTTTCATGTGTGGTTTTAAATTAATTTTATATTGGAAATAAAATCATATGTTATAATTATTTTTATTTTATTTATAAAACATCAAACAAAAAACAACATAAATTTAATTAATTAGTTAATAGGAAATAAATTATGTTGTGTATGAAATGTATATTTTTAACACATTTTTAAGTATAAAAAAATATACTCCCTACATTTCAAAATAAGTATCATATTAAAAAAAATTGTATCAAAATATTTATCACTTTAATTATCAATGTAATTTTATATTTAATCTTTCAATTATATTCTATAGTAAATACTTTTAATTTTTTATTTTTTATTTAATATTAATGGTAATTTGAATATACCAATAACTAATCAAAATAGTTTGATAAAATCAGTTTTCTCTCTTTATTGTTTCTTAATTTGTATGAAATGGTCAATTGTGTCAAATATTATGAGACAGGAGGAATAACATATTTTTATAAAATATATCAATGTTTTCATGTGTGATCTAGATAAATATAAAATATATTATAATATTTTTATTTATTTAGAAAATGTAAAACAAAATTAATTAATTAATTAATTAATAGTAAATAAATTATCTTGTGTATGAAATATATACTTCAACAATTTTTTAAGTGTCAAAAAATAAAAAATTAACAAAAGTATGAAAAGTATAGTTAAGCTATTATAATAATTATTTTCATTTTTATGATGAAAATATTAACAATTAGTTTATTATAATTATAATATCATGTATAAAATATAGGTTTCAATAATTGTTTATGTATGATTTTTGAGATACATTATAATTAGTTTACTATATGTTTTTTTAATTTCATTTGGAGATTTTTAAGAACTACAAAGTTTAACTAATTAATTAATGTCAAATATTTGAGTCGGGTATGAATTGAACTTTCTAATGTTTTTTTAGCAATTCATTTTTTGAACTTGGAGGTGTTAGTTCAATTATAAAAATATAGTCTAGATTCGAATTTCAAATTTCCCCCAAAAAAAATTGTAAATAAGTACTTTAACTTATGAAGCGGGCGTCAATTTTTAGAAATTGGTATGTCGTGATTTCCAACACGTATCAATGTCTCATATTTATTAGAAAAGTCAAATAAATATTAAAAAAGTTAAATAATTATTTTTAAATAAATAATTATTTTTTTGTTTCGATACACTTTAAATCGATGTCTCACACCCGTTTAATACTCAAACAATATGTATTGGACAATTTAGATAAGTGTTGAAAAAACATTTTAATTTTTTCTTTATTTTAACATACCTTATACATTTTTTAAGATAAAAGACACGTTAAAAATATATTGAAACAATATTATTAATAAAAAATTAAGGATATTTAATTAACATATTTTTAACTCTTTAATAATTGATGAATAAATAAAGTTGACATATTATCATATAATGCCGTGTCTTATATTTTTGATATTATCCATTTCATCTTTATTTATTAAATTTGTTCTCATTTGTATGTTACATTTATTAAAAACATTAAATGTGTATTTGGTTGGCCATAACAGAAAATAATTTTGAATGATTTGATTTTATAAAATTAATTCTAATTAAATGTGAGTTGAAGTTAAAATGATATGTTTTGATAAATTCATGTAAAAAGAAAGTTGAACATAACGGGCAAACTCGGCACCAAACAACACTTTACCTCAGTCGAGCACCCACAAACTAACGGGTAAGCCGAGGCCACAAACAAGGTCATCTTGCGAGGACTCAAGCGTAGATTAGTCGAAGCAAAAAGAGGATGGGTTGAGGAGCTACATAGTGTTTTATGGGCGTACCCTACGACGCCCCATTCAAGGACTGGTGAAACCCTGTTCCGACTGACCTACGACACCGAGGCAGTCATCCCGGTAGAAATCATGGAGCCATCCAGGTGAATTGAGATGCCCCTCGACGAGGAAATGAACGACGAGGCTCTGAAAGACGAGCTCGACCTTGTCGAAGAAATCCGTTCAGGAGCAGTCATATGCGAGGCCACTCTGAAACAACAGGTAGCCCTACGCCACGACAGCAAAGTCATAAGACGCGAATTTCAAGTCGGTAGCCTAGTCTTACAGAGAAACTAGAAGGATTCCCGCGAAGGAAAGTTGGTCGTAAACTGGGATGGACCTTATCGCGTCCGGGGAGCTATGGGCACCGGAGCATATTACCTTGAGCAATTAGACGGAGATCCATTTCATCGACCCTGGAACGCTGCAAAGCTGAAACAATATTACAGTTAAAGCCCCTCACCAGCTGAGGACTTTCTCCGTCGAATATTCACCTTTAGTCGACAAAGGGAAAAATATCGACCACGTACGCGTGTCGAGGTACGGACGCCGCCTACCAACCAACGAAGGCATGATATCGCTCACATTGACGAGCGACACCCTTGCCCGACAGAGGCATCTCGATCGAGCCCCACTGTCAAAGTACCCCAACATGGCAGAACACCCAGCTCGCGATGGGCAGTTCACGCCACGAGCGTAGGATCCCGATCGCGATCATGCGCCCGTCTCGCAGATAGCCGCTTCGCGCCCTTGACACATTTTGAAGTATGTCGAATCGATAGGGTCGAACAAGCATCTCCACGTGAACACGAACTTCGTGAAAATATTCATAACGACCACCACAATGGTCAGGAACACACATCCAAAAAGTTATCAAAACAAATGAATAATGCAATTATAAATATGTCGATCACATGGGTCGACGTTGTCCAAATTTACAACTTAGGCACAACGACCTCAAAATCAAAAGAATAATATGGGGCACGCAGGCCCTAAAACAACAACGGGCACGCAGGCCCTGAACTAAATACATTCAAACTTCGTCTTCACCGTCGCTGTCCTCCGGAGGATAGAGGATCTTCCCGTTAATGACTTGGTTGAACGACCCCGCCCCCTCAACCACTAAGTCGACCCTGGGATTCAAGATTTTCAACTGCTCGACGGTGACATTGAAACCGTATGCAAGAGTGTCAATGACGTCCTGCTCGAGCAAGCGGATATGAGCAATCAAATCCGCCTGAGTCGCGATATTTTTCTCTGTCTCGGTCTCTTCCTCGACCGGTGCAGTCATCCCCTCCAGCTCCAAATTACGAGCGGCCAGGCGCTCATTCTCCCTCGTGGCCGTCTCCAACTGAGGCCTCAACTCGTTCAAATCCTTGAGAAGCTGGACTTGGGCCTCATATTTTAACCCGTGGTTGAGGATGTGACCCTTCAACTTCTCATTCTTGACCTTCAGCTTATGGATCTTGGTGTAGGCCGCATCGAGAGCAGATTGAGAACTCGAAGACTCGTCGTTAAGTGACAGGGCCGTCTCGAGCACCCTCATCACAACGGCCACGTCCTCGGCCAAGTGCTGCCGGCGAAGCTCCTTGTCTTCAGCCAAAGTAGCCTCTCTCTCTTCCTCATGCAGGCCGAGGGAGTCCCCGTAGAGGATGAGGTCGCGATTTAGATAACACGGAGGCAACACAAAACCCCCCCCTCGGATGTTTTATCACCCTCGGATTGTACATCCGCAGTGCTATCTGCACGCTTCCTCTTGGCCATGGGTTCGTTGACCGGAATCTGGGTCGGATCAGTAGAAGTGGAATTTTTCGAGGAGGAGGGGGAACCACTACCCCGACCGATAGACTTAGCCTGCTCCTGGAGCTGGGCAACCCTGCTTCGGGGACCAAAAGTGGATGCATTCTTTGGCCTCAGTTTCAGCAAACGCTCAAAAAGAGACGCCATTCGACCTGCAAATCAAAGAGGGTCGTTAAGTTGAGTTAGAAAAATCAAAATAAAGAGGACACGTCCCCGCTTATAAAAGAAGCAAATAAACAGTTACGCCTTACCCAAGAGCCTCATGGCTTCCCCATTCGAGGAGCACTCGAGCAAGGCCTTAGTATTGATCAACCTATTGACCAAGAGATACTCCCCTTCCTCGTCAAACAATAGGGCACCATTCACGTCCACGCATTTCGCGGGGGAGAACCCTTTAACATATGCAGATAGCTTCTCGTACGAAAGCTAATCATGGGCATCCAAATCCTCGGGTCTCACCGCATAGTATTCGGGCCTCTGCTCGTAATGTCTCCACTGTCATTCAAGCGGGAAAAGGACCATAAGTCGGGTAACTGGCCGCCCATCCTCCACCTCTTCCACCCGGGCATAGAGAGAATCTATGGCCGCGTCCGTCAAGGGTTTCACGACGAAGTACCTCTCCTTGAAATTCCACACGGACTCCGGGTAAGGTCGGAAGAGTTTCCCAAACTGCTTAAAAGAGACCCACGCCTGTCTCCCGTGGACAGATTGTCTCTGCAAGTGAAAGATACGGAAGAAGAGGGGCAACATGGCGCCTATCCCCAGATATTGGAAGACGAGCTCGAACGCCTGCATGAACGCCAACGCGTTTGGATGAAGTTGAGAAGGTGCCAGTTGGAGCCATTGGAAAACCCTGACCTGGAAATCATTAAAAGGAAGGCACATCCCCGCCTCCTTGAAAGTAAACTCATTCATTGGGAATCGTTTGCCCGGATACGACGAGCATATCCTTCGGTCCCCGTGAGGTATTTGAAGCATCCAGTTGGTCGGAGCCCCCTCTGCGCATTCTTCCGGGAAGTTAAACGCGTATGTTGCATCCCGCGAGAAGCACGATCTTTTGTCCCAGGGCTCCGGAGCAACCCAAGCCAAAGGACCCTCCTCGTCGTTATGGGGTTCATCATCGTGACGGGTGGCCGGAATATCGCTCCCTCGGCAGCGTGTCATTGTACCTGAAAAGCAGGGGAAGTTAGTGAATTCAAGATTATCAAATCCACCCTTCCACCACATATCAAGTGAAAGGGCGACGAACTCAACCCAAGCCCTCGACATACTAAAGCGGACCATTACAGTCATAGGACATGACATCGGGGAATAGGTGCCCGACGCCATAACACGAATGTTTATAGGTGCCCGACACATTCATGAGTGCTCGACACTAAATACATAAACACAGATGAATATTCATGAGTAGTCATGAAGCTCATGAATATTTATTAATAGGTGCCCGACATCTTCATGAGTGCCCGACACAAAACCCATAAATTCAGATGAACATTCATGAACATTCATCACAAAACTCATGGATATTCATCCAATCAAGACAAATTTTTGACATTTAATCCAGATAAACCCAAGAAAGGTGGTATTAAGAGGTTATAAATTACTTGGATGAAGAACGTTGAAGAAAAAACGGGAAAGTTGAGAGGGTCGCCTCACACCACAAGCAAAGAAAAACTGAGAGCTTTGAGAGAGAACCGCTTCACACCGCGAGCAAATGAAGGATTGAAAGGGAGCTGAGAAGATGATAAATGAATCCCAAGGTCCCCCTTTTTATAGGCGACCCACTCCCCAAGGAATTCCACATGAAGGGTCACCATCTCATTGGCCCATTTTGCTCTTTTCTTAAGGGGTGGCACCCCAAAACGCTAGCCACGTGGTTCAACCATCAAACACGAAATCCTCTGGACTGGTGAGCAATCGCCCGACTCCTACGAGAACATGACATAGAAGGGTTGACACTTATGCGGGGAGGTGCTCGGCACTTGAGTGCGCAAAGGGGCACATTTCCTTGACTATCTCGAAGACAAGGAAATGCTCGACAAACTAACAGCTCCCAGGAGGCGGATGAACCCTCTCGAGCACAATAACGTGGGAGGGGCCCCTCACCGCCAATATGCCCTCTCGAGCAGGTGGATGAACCTTCTGATCCTGATCCTCGTCCATCCATGGTATTCCCCGACACATTTGGGCTTGCCCCCCGCGGGAAATGATTCGCTCCCTTCAGGGACTTCGACCCTCTATCCCGACCAAGCCTTCGATAACAAGAGCTGCACTCAAGTCATCACCCTCTAACTCGAGGACAATAACTTGGGGGGCTCCTGATCTGGATTGGACCTACATTTCCCTACGAAAAGGAGGCCCAAACGGCCCAAGTTAGAGATTGTAGGGCACCTCCCCAACTAACCGTTGGGGGACGTGGCCCACCACTTCTCAACAGACACATCAAACTGCCCACCGGGAATTTTGGGTCCAACCCTATTCTCGCGGAGCGGTTGACTAGGGGGGAATCCACTTGCTGGACTCCATACTCACGTAAACACTGACAGTTCCCGTTATTGGGCCTCTGCGTGGCCCAATAGTGGGGACCTTGGCCCAGCGCTGGGGGCTATAAATACCCTCTCTCATGAGAGGGTCAGGTATTCATTCATTCACACCTATATACTTACTTGCTTGCTCATTCCGTCTCTCATTTTTCCATCAGAGTGTCTTGCAGGTACCCCTCCATCTCCTTCAAATCCATCCCGAAGCCAGTTGTGATGGTCCAACTTTGATCAGGTACGATCAGTGTCCCATCTACTTTTTACTGATGATTGTTTTTTGTTTTGCAGGGCAAATCTTACAGAAATGAGTTCTCTTATGAAGGTGATCATTTTATATGCGGGGGCTTCAGGCCAAGAGATTAACCTGATTAAATCATAGGTATTTTTTAGCCAAAACTTATCCAAACCAGTCCAGGAGCTTCTCGCGAGCATTATGGGAGTTAGACATGTTCTGGGAACGGGTAGGTATCTAGGCTTACCTTCCATGATTGGTAGAGGCAAGAAGGCTATGTTCTAATATATCAAGGATCAAATCTAGAATAGGATTAACTCTTGGAAAGGAAGATCATTATCCAAACCCGGGAAGGAAGTTATGATTAAATTTGTTCTGCAGGCTATTCCTTCATATATTATGAACATCTTTATTCTTCCAGATACGATTGTTCAGGATATAGAAAGAATATTGAATTCTTTTTGGTGGGGAGGTGGCAACAACAATGGAGGAATCCAGTGGATGGCCTGGGAAATATTAGCTTGTTCCAAGAAGGAGGGAGGGTTAGGTTTCCTAGATTTTAAAGCTTTCAACATGGCCATGGTCGCTAAACAAGGGTGGTCCTTGCTCTTGAAACCAAATGTGCTTGTATCCAGAGTTTTCAAAGCAAGGTATTATCCTAATAATTCCTTCTTTGATTCTATTCTGGGTTACAACCCGAGTTTTATCTGGAGGAGTATATGGAAATCTCTAGAGGTTTTAACTCTAAGGTGCAAGTGAAGTATCGGTGATGGTAGCAATATCAGGGTTATGCAAGAACCTTGGCTCTGTGGTGGTGGTGGTGAAGGTAGTATGAGTGGTCCTCAGCATCAAGGTGTGTATGATATTACTGTTAAAAATCTTATGATGCCTAATGTGAAACAGTGGGATACAAATGTTATAAGAAACCTCTTTGACGATGCAGATACAACTAAAATCTTGCATGTACCGTTGTTGGAAGAGGTTAAGCAAGATAGGATGATTTGGAAAGAGCATGATGGTATTTATAGTGTGCGCACTGGTTATAAAGTATGGCGAAATTCATTTAGACGACAAGATGAGGTCGTAGGGGATGAGGAGTGGTGTATTCTTTGGAACATAAGAACTCCGCCTAGAGTTAAGCATCAGTTGTGGATAATTTGTAGGGACTGTCTACCAACTCGTGCAAGACTCAGACATCATTTTATTATGTGTATGTTAGCATGTCAATTATGTGATAATCATACTGAGGATGGTTGGAATTTGTTTATGGGATGTAACGTAACTAATCAGTGTTAGTGAGCAGCAGGTTTGGCTAATATTATAGACTCTCACATTCATTCGTTTCATGAGGTTAAGTCTATTATTTTTTATATTTTCAAGAAGGAGGATAAACGATTAGCGGGTAGATTTGCGGTTATGATAGATATTATTTAGAAAAACATGAATGATTTTATCTAGCATAATGAAAAAGAAGAAGCAACTAAATTGGGGTTATGTGTGGTTCATAGGTGGAACGATTGGTTCCAATCTCAAGAAGACACGGAGAACAATGCTCGATCCCATTATGTTCTTGATTGGCGTCCTCCATCAGTGGGCCGATTAAAATGTAATATGGATGCGACTTTTAATAATAACAATGACACTACTAATAGAGGATGGTATGTGCGAGATCATCTTGACCATTTTATTTATGCAGGTGTTGCTTGGGATCCTGGAATTCTTCCCATCATTGAAACTGGAGCCTTAGCTCTCAAAGAGTCCATTCTTGAAGCTATATAGTCACACTTGGAGTTTGTTACTTTTGAAAGTGATTCTCAAAAGATAGTTCAAGCTATACACACTAATAGTAAGGGTGACTTTGAGTTTAGTCTTATTATTGAGTCTATTTCTAGTTTATTACATAATTTTCCAAACTTCGAAGTTAAGTTTATTAAACGTCAAACGAATATGATTGCTCACTCTCTTACCATGGTGACCGGTTCTTGAGCTCGACGTAGCTTGTTACCTATGTTTCCTCATTATATTAAATACTTTTTTATTAATGAAATGCATTGATTTTATTGTGAAAAAAATATAATCAATTTTAAAAGTCATAATTAATTTTACTTTTGATAAATCTAACAATTCCAAATCAATTATAAACATTTAGAATTGAATTTAACTCTTCAAAAATGGAAATCAAAACTGTACTAAATTTAATAATTTTTAATAATAAATATTTGTTTCATGTATGTGATTTATAATACATTCAAATTTATATATTATAAATATTTTGATTTTGATTTTAAATATAGAAGAAAAAAACTAAAATCAATTAATCATTTTCAAAAAAATAACATAATAAGTATAATATGCAAAAGTTAGTGTTAGTGTGTTATAATTATTTTCATGTTTTTGTCAACAATGTTAAAAAAACAATAGTTTATTAATTAATTAGTGACTAACATTTATCTTATATATAAATAATATTAATATAAAAACTCTCATTGTTATGTGGACACAAGAGATAAAAATATTATATAGCATTCTATGAATATTTATTCGTTTTTAAAGTAGTTTTGAGTTTTTATATTTTATATATTAATTGATGGATCATTATCGAAAGGGACGATTTATAATTTTTAAGCACAATTTTAAATTGGATACACTAATTTTTTTTATTAGTTTTACGTTTGATAAATCTAACAACTCCAAATCAATTGTATACATTTATATTGAATTTAACTCTTCAAAAATGAAAACCATAACTGCACTAAATTTAAATAATTTTTACTAATAAATATTTGTTCCATATATGTGATTTATGATACATTCAAATTTATATATTACAAATATTTTTATTTTTATTTTAAATGTAGAAAAGATACTAAAATTAATTAACCATTTTTCTAAAAATAACATAATAAATTATAATGTGCAAAAGTGTTAGTGTATTATAATTATTTTCATGTTTTTGACAACAATATTAAAAAAACAGTAACTTATTAATTAATTAGTGACTAACATTTATCTTATATATAAATAATATAATATAAAAACTTTCATTGTTATGTGAACAAAAGAGATAAAAAATACTATATTGCATTTCATGAACTATTTTATCTGTTTTAAAAATAATTTTAAGTTTTTATATATTAATTGATGGATCAAAAGGATCTATTTATAATTTTTAAGTACAATTTTAAATTCGATACACTAATTTTTCTTATTAATAAAATAAATTACTTTAAAAAAAAGTATAATTAGAAAACAAAAATGAAGTGTACATAGACAATTACGAGTATTATGTAAACCAAAATGTAAGATGTACAATAAAAAAAGTTTTAAAACAAAAATTATATCAAATTTTCAAAATGTCTCTAAAATGTAAGACGTGGCATTAGCTAAATTCTAGAATAAAAGGATATAAACGTAAGTTTGATGGTAATTTGTTTTCTAAAGTTTGATAGTGGACTTATTGTTTTTCTTTTCTTTTCTTTTCTTGTAAAGTATGTATTGTGAATTTTTATCTACCTGAATAAGATTATGTTTATGTTAAAATATTTTCGAAACAACAAATAAATATATTATTTATTTAATAATTAATTTACACTATTATTCAATAGAAAATCAACAATCATTTATATTATTAAAATAATTTAATTTTAAAATAAAATATAATGTGACCGAATATATAATTGTCATTAATTAACAATATAAAATTATTTTATATTTTCAGTGCATCGTCTTTTTCTTTTTTTAAAATTGGTTTTTATATTAAATTTTAGTTTTTTTAATATAATTGATTAAAAAAAATCATGGTATGGCATTTTAGTTTTTAAATAATATATATAACAATTGATTGGTTTTGTGAAGAAAAATTAATTTGAAATGAATTAATTCTAATTAAAATAATGTAAATATGAAAATATTTTTTTAGATATTCTATAAAAGAGTAAGATGAAAAATACATTTTATTTTAAAGTTATATTTGAATTCAAAAGTTTTTTTTGAGAAATTTAAACTCAAAAAGTTATAAATCATAAATTCTAGCTAGAACAATTTGAGGAGTCAAGAAAATCATTTCTACCTTATAACAACTAAACATATCAAGATCAATTTTACTTTCATAATTAATTTTAAACTTTTAAATATAGATTCAAACATAAACATAAATATGATAGATTTGTTCTTTTTAAAAAAGTTAAAATTAGACCAAACATTAAATTGGTGAGGACTCATTCAAGATTTAAAAATTTGACCGAATTCAGACTAGACATTACATTGGTGATGACTTTGATTCAAGATTCAAACATAAATTTAAACCTACATATAACCTACTATCTGATCCAACAACATATAGAAAGTTAATAGGGAGACTTCTGTACTTGACACATTCCATACCTGAGACTTCTTATGCTGTAAGCAAATTTAGTCAATTCTTAAGTACACCAACTAATAAACATATTCTAGCAGGATTGCATGTTTCGAAATAACTCAAAGGTAGCCTTGGCAATGGATTATTTTTCAGTGCATCATCCACATTAACACTTAAAGAATTATCTGCTTCTGATTGGGGAACATGTCTCAATACCAGAAAATCCACAACTAGTTTATGCTTCTTTCTTGGAACCTCTTTAATTAGTCTGAAAAGTAAGAAGCAAAATGTTGTTTCCAGATTATCATCAGAGACTGCGTATAGAACACTAGCTCATGTAACATGTGAGGGTCAATGGATCATGTAATTGCTACAAGATTTCCACATCAATCATCGACAAATCAACTCTTCACATAGCTGCAAATCTGTCATGTGGTGAGAGACAAGATTCAAGAGGAGTTCTTCACTTGCTTCCTATTGCATCAAAAGACCTAGTGACTGATATCATGACTAAGTCTCTACATGTCAGACTTTTATCAATGGTGTTCTTCCTTTAGTTTTCACAAGACACTTTAAAAGATTGACAAATATGATATGCTATATTTTAATTTTTAAACTAAACAAAAATATGAAGAATATTATTTATTTATTTATTATTTATTATTATTATGTATTGTATATCATAATTTTTATCTATCATTCAACCTTTGCAACCAATATTCATGTTGAATTAGTTTTATGTAACTACCAATTAGTATTACTTGTATGACAAGTATAGTATTTTGTTGAATGTATATAAACCAGAGCAATAATAAGTGGTAACAGTACCATACACAACATGCTTGTTTCCATTATTTATTTCTTTTGGGTCATTTCAGTTTTAAACTCAACATTTGTAAAGCACACGAATCTGTGTAATCTTGTGTTCTGAATAAGAGGTTTGAAGAATCATTCATCACATAACAAGGTACACCAGAAAGTTATTGCAGAGATGAAAATCTAAATGATGTCTACTTTGCTCCTAAGAAATTTCCACTTTAACAACATCTCAGACTTAAATCTTATACCTAATTTTTCACTCTTTCCTTTGTCTCACAATTTGAAATTAGCATAAAGCTGGCTCTAAAACAACAACTACCGAATATGAATTATGATCACAGGAGCTCCAGAACAAGGGCAGAAGCACCACCTCCTCCGTTACAAACACCACCAACACCGTATTTTCCATTTTTCTGCTTCAGTACCTGTATGTATGCAGTGACTTTTAGATTAATTGAATTATAAGGAACATCCAATATTATGGACGACATCATGCATGAACAATTGAACATATGCGGTTGAAGGTACTTGAATATTACATGATGAACATGTTAAATTTCATATAAACTTATGTATACCATGTTAGATAGGCTATCAATTTGATAGTATGCATTGCAAAGTAAAAGTTATTATAAACTGAACATACCCCCAAAAGTGTCACCAGGATTCGGGCACCACTGCAACCAAGAGGATGACCCAATGATACAGCTCCCCCGTGTACATTTATTTTTCCCTGCAAAAGAATTGTTATTTGTGTGAATAACCTTTGTCGTGCAAAAAAATAGTTATTTAATAAAAGGAATAAACAGAAGTTTAGCAAGACATTAATAAGCATGATGAAGACAAATATGGACTAAAGATAACTTTACAATTTCCACAACTTCAAGGCACTCAATCAGAAATAGTTTGCTACATAGACATCACCAGATTAAAACCTTCACAATATGACAAGGGACAAAACTCACCGAATCTAGTCCGAGAAGTTTCTGATTTGCAAGAGCCACAACCTACAGACGAAAATCGAGGAATTAACACTCATGGTGTCATAATTTGACAAAAACTACAATTAAAAGTTTAGCATGAAATCCTACCGCGAAGGCTTCATTAATTTCATAAAAATCAATTTGTGAAATCTCCAACCCTGCTTTGGAGATAGCTTTGGGAATGGCAATGGCTGGAGCTGTTGTAAATAACTCGGGTTCCTGTACAGATCATATAATATGAAAATTAAGTTATACTACCAACAGATAAAATGCTACAAATAATGTGAATACTAATATAGCCTGATGGTGTAGTTCATATTTAAATGTTTTATGTACCTGAGCAGCATCAGCATATCCAGTGATTTTTGCAATGACCTGAAGCCCAAGCTTTAATGCCTTCTCTCCACTCACCAAAACTAATGCTGCGGCACCATCACTGTCATTGAGAACAGTTTCATTTTCATAAGAAACCAGGACTCATGCCAAAATAAAACTCACTAGAAACATAGATCATATCATTTAAGCATATAAACTAATGAAAACTCAAGATTTAGCACAATTATTACAATATATTTGATAAGTCGTGAATATAACTCTCTAACTGACTTTCATGATTCAAACAGTAACCTCACAGAACCACTTGTGGCTTAAGGATATAGGCAAAAATCATCTGCTAGATGGTATTATCTGATTTCTGTGCTTCTAACAAGTGTTGGCAGCAGCTTAACATCAAACTGTGTGATTGACCATTCACTCAAACTGATAAACAACTACAGGTCAATACTGAAACAATTTATGACCTGCTTCTTTTCCCCACTAAATCACTCGACTCAACAATAAGTCCACATTAAACTACTCCAGTAAATCATGTTAAAGACCATGTAATTTATTACTATCTTTTGTTTTTGCCAAGAGCATCCAAATACAAACAGTTATGCATAATAAGACACATAGGAAAAAGTTGAGGCTGTTGAGCGAATTTGACAATATATTAACCTTATGCTAGAAGCATTGCCAGCAGTAACAGAACCTCCAGTCTCCTTGAAGCTTGGTCTAAGTTTGCGTAACTTGGCAGCATCAAACTGGGATAGCGAAAGAAAAAAATATAACAATATATTGGTAGAAATTTTACCACAATTAGGAAAAATAATGATTATAATAATTTAATAAATTCTACCTTTCCTAGGCCCTCGTCCTTGTCAACAACTGTTGATGGTCTTCCCCTTCCACCACACACTTCAACTGGAGTGATTTCCCAATCAAAGGAACCACTTTCTTGAGCAGCAATTCCGCGATCGAAACTCTGAACTGCAAAATTATCCTGTGCAAAAAACGCAGATGTCAGCAAAAATGTATTAGAATGGTTGTGCTAAAACCTATCTGAACAGAAATCAATCATAAAATACCTGGTCTTCTCTAGTTATTGAATGGTTATCTGCACAGAGTTCAGCGCACACTCCCATACCAACATCCTTATAGACATCCCACAAACCATCCTTCAACATCCCATCAACTAGTGAGTCGTGTCCAAGGCGGGAACCTTTCCTGAAATTTTAGCATTTAATCAGTTTATTTCATCAAAATAACTAATCTTAAGAAAACTATCATTCATGTGCCATTATAGACCTTGCTTCTGCCAAGTACTTAGGTACACTAGACATGTTTTCCATACCACCAGCCACAACAACATCATTTATGCCCAATTGAATACTCTGTGCAGCAAGCATTGTAGCTGCAGTAAACCAAAAACGGTCTATTAACCTTGTTCATTCATTGAAATGATAAAAACTAAAAGATACCAAACAAAAATCCTTGTTTATAATATATTACATACCTTTCATTCCTGATGCACAAACTTTGTTAACAGTAGTGCAGACTACAGATTTTGATAGTCCAGCTCCGAGAGCAGCTTGTCTGGCGGGAGCTTGCCCCAAATTTGCACTAAGAACATTCCCAAAGAATACTTCTTCCACAAGTGATGGGTCAACATTAGCTCTTTTAAGAGCAGCTATACATCAACAAAAACAGAGATAAGCATATCTTCAATAAGTTTCAAATTTAATGAAATGATAACTGACGCAGCACATGTTAACATAATTACCTTCAATAGCTATAGAGCCAAGCTTCGTGGCAGGTACAGATGAAAGAGCGCCAAGAAACCCACCCATTGGTGTACGTGCAACACCAACAATGCAAACATCTGTACAAAACAAACTAAAAAGATCAACTAAAACGAACGCATTCTGTGAGTTGCCGTATTGAAGTAAAAGATATGAAAAATCAATGTTTCAATTTTTCATCAATGATTGCGCTTGATGGATTAAATGAATAAATATACAGAATAACCTAATATGTGAGTGAATAAGACAAATGGAATGCAAGCACAGCAAAATTTCAAGCCACAAAGTTTGATAATGACCTCTAGGCTGTATAGAGTCTGAAGATGCTGCTGTAGGAGCCATTGATAGATGAAAAATGAATCTGTAATCGAAACATAATAAATAAATGTATATAAATTCAATGAACAAGCAAAGAAATGAATAATCAAGAATTAACTTCATATAAGATTGGCCTCAAATACATTCATACTGTAAGAAACATTTAACATTCAGGTTTTCTTGCCTCACTTCACATGATGTTAAATTAGTCCAATTTCTATAAAAAAAAAAAACCTATATAAACAAACATGAGGAAAGTGCCAAATTTCTTAGCGCAAGTTTGGATATACATTTCACTCACCGTCACCACAAGTTTGTATCCATTTCGCTGTGAAAATGGAGAATCTAATATACAAACTGTAGCTTCTACAAAACATGTGTCCACTCCACATTTAGGCAGCCATCGAAACAAACACATACTTAGAGTGTGTTTGGGAAAGAAAACAATCACATTGCTAATGCACAATCGGTTGAAAACAAACATATAGGAGAGTTGACTCAACGCGTGTTGAGCATCCTCGAATATGATACCAAACATGCTATTAGAAGTGTAATCAAGGTTTTAAATAACAGTAACGGTCGCATAACGGCTTCACAATTTTGGTCGGTACAAGTGTTGCGACAGTAATTACAGTTGTCAGATTGTGAATCAACCATAATTTGTTCGTTATAAAAAAAATAGTGAAGAATAGTATGAGTATCGGCAACTTTGTTCATTTATAAAAAAACGGTGAAGAACAGTATCAATATCGGCAACTTCACTATCGGCCGTTATCACCAGACCATTTTTTAAAACCTTGAGTGTAATATTACTAATTAGACCTCTTTGCCTATTTTATTTCATTTCCTTTTTTGCCATCTTACAATTGAAGTGAACCAAATCAAAACTAAACAACACAAAAAATGCAGTTAATAAATTCAACGAGTAAATAGAAATAGTGCAAACTCATTGAACTATGAACCAGAAAATCACTGAAAGATTATCAACTACTATAATCATTCTGCTCATCCATAGAATTTTACAGATCAACATCAACGATCCATCAAACAGTCTCAATAACAATTTCAACGACTATCTCAAATCAAAACCAAAACACGTGCATTACAATTTGAACATATTCAACTACTATTCAGAATCAAAACTGTATACAATCAAGAACAACGATGAAAAAATAAAGATCTGGTAGAGATTAATAAATGCATAAAACATTATAGTGAGATTAATAATCAATGACAAATTCAGATCTGAAAGATATTAAGATGAATAGAAGATGAAGAGGTTACCGTTAGGTTAAGGTGCTGTGGTGATTGTTGAAGAAGCGAAGAACGGAAGAGAATGAAAGAGAATTGGGAAGAAAAAACGGAGGGAAGAAGAGTGTGAAGAAGTGTGGTTGGTTTGGGTGTTTATATAGTGCCATGTGGGATGCGCCACGAGTTACACGCAAATTTCTTCGACGACGCAACCAATGGAAATTATTTCACTTCATTCATTTCACAATCCAACTACTCTATCTTTTCTAATGTTTTAAGAAGAGAAAATGGGTCATGCTTCGGGCTAAAATAATTTTATTATTTTTTATTTTAAATTTTGGTTTAATTGTGATTTTGGTTCATCTATGAAGTCTTTTTTTTTTTTTTAATTTTGATTCTTCATTTTAAAAATTATTATTTTAATTTTTTTTTCAAATTTTGTGTTTGAATTTCTGTTTTTTATTTATAATTATTTTATATTTTTTTATATCGAAATTTTGTCAAAAAGTGGTGTCAAAAGGGTACTCATTCTGGATTACAAACCATATTATAGAATCATATTATAGAATTTAGAACCATAGTTTGTAAAATTTTTAAACATAAATATTATATATTTTGCTAGTTACTCAATCAGAAACATTGTACCATAAATATTTATTGATTACACCAACTGCAAATTCAAAATAGCACACATTTTATAATTTTACATCAAAATTAAAACAAATGATTAACCAACATTTACTTACTAGTTTTCACATATCTCTTCTTCATGATCACGACAAATAGCATGTATATTATCTTAATCATTTTCATTAGATCATTGATGTACATGTATTGTTAAACAAGGCGTCTCATAGTTAAAATCTTGATTTTCATCAGTACTATCGAGAAGATGTTTTCCTTAAAGAATAATTGATCATCTAGTGTTAGAAGGATCAGTGACATAAAAAACTTATTTTGCTTGGATTGTCATGATGAATGGTTGGTTCTTATAAGTTGCCTTTCGAATATCAACCCGTGTGAATCCTAATTTGTCGATTTATATATTAGTGTTATTGTCAATCCACTTGCATCTAAATAAAGACACTTTAAAAGAAACATAGTCGATCTCCAAAATCTCCTCAATGACCCCAAAATGCGCGCTAGATACTAATACAATATTGTTATCTTTGGAACTAGAAAAGTACATGGATTATGCCTTAACCATAACCCCATTATTTTGCATGGTGCTACGATCATCTTTTGATTTTGTATAGAATGAATATTTGCTAATGTCGTACGCACTCCAAGTAATCACATTAAACTTGTGCATACATGACAACCATTTGCATGTATCTGATGCACTACTCTCTTTAGAAATACTTTCATTAAACCAAGTTATGAAAGTTTTGTTATGATATGTTAATAATCATTTTTCATTCATCCGGGAGAAATTTTCCTTTATAAGAATTTTGTGAGCGGTCAAGTAAGGTTGAACTTCAATAAGGTTATTCAATTACAAATGTGCTTGAAGAATTACTTCTCGATCAAATGTCTTAACATTTAAACCTTGAATACCTCTACCATCACGACGAGACTCAGGAATTCTATAAAGTTCACTTTCTGACAAATAGTTTGTATAAAACTCAATAGATTCTTCTGTGATATAACTTTCTACGATTGAAGCTTTCGGATGGTGATGATTCTTTGTATACCCTTTAAAAATCTTCATGTAACGCTCTACTGGATACATGGCCACCGTAAATAAACTGGACCACAAATTATAATCTCTCTTACTAGATGAACAACTAAGTGAACCATAATGTCAAAGAATGACGGGAAAAAACGTCTCTAATTGGCACAAGATAATTACAACTTCGTGTTCTAAGTCAAATAAATTTTCAGGATCAATAGATTTACTACATATAGCATTGAAGAATAAGTACAATCTGGTTATAGTTATCGTTACATTTCTTGGTAAAATATCACGGATAGTCATCGATAGAAGTTGTTGCATCAAGACATGACAATCATGAGATTTTAAGTCAACTAATTTGTAATCGTTCTCTGACACAAGTTTCTTCATATTTGATGAGTAACTTTGGGGAACTTCGATACCCTGCAAACAATCGCAATTTTTTTTAGTCAAAGTGTGATATGTTGGAAGCAAATATATTCTATTTCTACTTCTTTTGAGACTAACTCTTACCGTATACTCATCACAATCATATCTTTACTAAATTTCATAATATCTTTTATCTAATTTTTAATATTGGGAAATGTTTCAATTAAATTATAACATATATTTTTTTTCTTCATATTATAATATTTTTTTCATTATTATTAATAGAACTAACAATCCCAAGACCCTTTTTTAGTCAATAAAACTATATACGATAAAAATTTGAATGTATTCAATATTGACAGTATGCCCAATATAAATTAAAACCTTTTGCTTTGTGTATTAAAAAAAAAAACTTTTACTTTCATTATTTCAGTTGCATATTTATCGAGTGATCTATTTAAGCTATAATTATTGGAATTTGCTCCCTTTTTGATGACATATTTAAATTATATCATTAAATTTTTTTAAATTTGATAATTATCATGGTTTTCTAAGGTTGCTTTTATATATATATATATATATATATATATATATATATATATATATATATATATATATATATATATATATATATATATATATATATATATATATATATATATATATATATATATATATATATATAATGAAATTTTTTATTAAAATTAAATTTAAATTTGGTAAGAGATATCTATGAAGGATAAAAAGAACGGTCAATTTTAAAAAAAATTTAAAATAAAATTTATATGCAAATATAATTACATATTAAAATTTAAGTTCTTCGTTGATGAAATATGAGTTTTTTGAAGAAACATTAGAGAAATTTCGTGCGTTCGCACGGATACTGAAACAGTATACACGTATTTGTTTTTAAAATGTAAATAATAAGAAAAATAAAATTATTTTATTAAATAAGTTTTTTATTTTTAAAAGAAAAACGTACTTTTAAAATAAAAAAATTAGTTTACATTAATAATATATATTTTAATTTTTTACATATTATTTTAAAAAATATTATATTTTAAATTTAAAATAATTTTAAAATAAAAATATTAATAACATCATATACTTTTTTTTAATTATACAAAAAAATTAATACCACGTGAATTCGCACGTATTCGGATATAAATACCGGTGCATTTGTATAGGTACTGGTGCGTTACGTGCATATATTTTTACATATAATAAGAATGAAAAATAAAAAGACAATTATTTAATTTATTATTTTAAAAAAAAATATTTTTATTTATATTTAGAATATAAATATAATTTTTTATTTTATACAAATATTTAGATGAATCGTATATTTTTTCAAATATAAATATTAAATTTATTTTAATATTATTTATAAATATATTTATATAATTATTTAGTTTTATATATGTCTAAATGCCTATTGTCTTTACGAGGAATCATGTGATGTAATGTGTATTTTTATTCCTCTAATGTACCACCTTTGAATTATGTGCTAGGTACGCTTGACTTTAACTGTTCAATTATATTAAGATGACTTTTGAGGGTAAAGTCATGTGAAACTTATCCCTTAAATTGATTAAGAGTAAAGTCATGTTTTTTATAACAGATTGAATGAATTATATTTAATTTTAGAGCTAAATTACTCATTGTTGTTAGTTTCTTTGGTCATTCAAAGCTTTAGAAGAGAGGTTAATAGCAATGATATACTTTATTA